TGGCGCTGTCTCAAACTATACCTACCTCTTCCGGTTTGTCTGATTTGTCATTGTGTTTTCTGACTTATTTTGTTTTCGAATTTGTCATTGTGTTTTCTGACTTGTTATAATGTTTTCTGAATTGTTATTTTGTTTTTTAGACTTGCATTTGCGTTTGTAATTTATTTTGTTTTCAGAATTGTGATTTGCTTTGCACTTCTCTGCCACCGTATAAAACACCTCTGAGTCTCAAATACTTGCTGAGGAACTCGCATTCACATAAAGTAGCCTTGTTGACAAGTTTGGGTGAGTAAAGGCAAAACGCAGTACTTGCAGTGACCTGTAGCAGGCAGTATCACGTCTTTTGTAGCAGAAATAAACTGCTGCAGAAAAAGCTAGGTCCATGCAAAATGTAATGTGTAACTGCAACACTCATTTCACATGTAGTGGAGTAAAGAGTACAGATACTCATTCAAAAATTTAGTGAAGTAAAGAGTAAAAGTTGCTAATATCTTTGATACTCAGTACAACTACAAAGTACCCGAAAAGATACTCAAGTACAGTAACTAAGTACATTCACTCCAATACTTTACACCTCTGCCGTTATTCAATATCACGACCACATACAGACAGACGTGAGAACTGTTACAGAATTACAACATTACAGAATTACTGTAAACATTTCTCATTTCTGTTTAAAAACCATTTGATTCACTGCAGCAAAAAGAGAGAAAACAGCTCAAGAAAAACACTGAGATTCACTCAGACCCATTTTCTGACGGTCTCTCACAAAGATGCTGCTTTTATTGTTGTCGGGGACTTTAATAGGACAAATCTGAAAAAAAAGTTCTCCCGAAATTCGTTCAACATATAACTGTTCCTACTCGAGCTGAGCAGACGCTTGATCCCTCTCCTCCGCTCTGCTTTCGGGAAACTGATCATATCTCCATCTCCTTCTGCCTGCATATGAAAGAAAGCTAAAGCAGGAAAACCCTGTTATCAGGTCAGTCTATAAATGGACAAATGGAGGAAGCCCTTCTCACACTTCAGGACTGCTTCCAAACCACTGACTGGAAGATCTTCCATGATGCAGCAGACACATACATTAATGAATACACTGACTCTGTTACCGATTATATCAGTATCTGCATCAAATCATTCCCAAATCAAAAACCCTGGATAAATGCTGATGTCAGGACAAACTTAAAGCACGCACTTCAACTCAGTGGTATATAGCCAGTCCAGGTATGAACTTCAGAGGGCCGTCGGGAATGCAAAGAGAGAGATAAGATGGTAGCAAACTATCAAGAATCTGACATCAAGAGCATGTGAGATAATCTGCACTCGATCACAGACTACAAAAACCTGCGATGTGGGCATGTCTGCCTCTCTATCTGATGAACCGAACATCTTCTATGCGAGGTTTGAGAATAGCAATGCCTTCCCGGCAGTGAAATTTCCAGCAGATGAGAACAAACGCGTTTTAAATATCTCTCTACCTGAAGTGTTCAGAGCGTTCAGAGCGGTCAACCCACGACAATCCCCAGGTCCTGATGGTGTCCTTAAAGCCTGTGCCAGCCAGCTAGCGGAGGCTTTTACAGATATTTTTAATCTCTCCCTTAGGATGTCTGTGACCCCCTTCTGCTTTAAGAAGACCATCATTGTCCCTCGCAAGGCTCTCCAGAGAGTCGCTGAATTCATTATAGGCACCAAACTACCCACCATACAGGACATCTTTTACACGCAATGTCTGAGGATGGCTCGCAAAATCCCCCAGCACAGAATTCAATCCAGAACCAGCAGATTGAAGAACAGCTTTTACCTACAGGCCATCAGAACTCGAAACACTCTGTAGTGCTCACTACATGCCTTACAAATATCTATACAACACATATACCTCATGAGGACTATTTTACTATACAAAGATCATTTGCACTTAAAAAACAGACTGCACATACTACAAGAGTACAAACGTTTTCTTTTTTCCCTCTAATTTGTATTATATTGCACTAATGTAGCCTCAACCTAAGCATTTCAATGTGCAAATTGTCACTGACATTGTACACATGATAAATAAACTTGAATACGAGATTGAAAACGGCCATAATGCTCATCAGACGTTTGTTTGACTGTTTGTGACAATTAACACATTTTCCATTTTTTACAGTCCTTATCATTTGCTAGTTTTAAAGCTTTAAAGTCAATATAACAGCTGCTCCTAAATGAACAAATGCACTGCAGACACTGATCTTCTTCCTCAGTATTTCTGTCTTGTTTTCCAATACAAATATCGAAACATTTTTAAATCTAGATACATTTACTTGCAAATGCAAGATGCAAATAACACA